ACACACACACACACACAATGAAAACACTCACGGTTAACAAGAACATCAAGCAATCAAGTGGTCACTCGTCTTCTTTGCACAAGGCACCGGGCTCTTTGCTGTAATTACCTGTTCACCTATCGATTTGGACAAATGGCACATGTGCATGTAAACTCTACCTCAATTTGTACTTTTCTGTATAATTATTTAAGTTCCAAGGCCCCTTTGTGGACCAGTAACTGTTCTTTGATCGAACTGTGAGGGTTATTTGCTCCTTTTCAACCAAAATGGGACCCACAACAAAGCCAGTGAAGCCTCGACAAAGTAGATGTTCTTTTTAGGTTGATGGGGAAGAAAATCCCATGAATGGGTGGAGCAAGATACTGACACTTTCATGATTGGGGGTTTTATCCTAAATGGAACCACCACACTAAAAATGTTGCCTTGGATAACAAAGATGGGAGATGTGTTATGAAGAACAGTTTCCTATGTCTTGTTTCTGTCTCGTGTTAGTCATTTCCCAATAAATTATCTTGGTCTATTTTTGTAATATCACCAGTCCGTCAAGTGATTCTTATTTCATTAAACTGATAATATGTAAAACATGACCACTAAATACATAATAGAGGACCGTGAGCACAGTGCAAACCATTAGAAATGTTTGCCAGTCAGCGAGCATTAAATAGCGGGCTGATTTGCATGCAGTCTAATGTTGTGTCCTCCACTATCTGGCCCCGAACACCCACGCAGTTGTTTTCAGTTACTCCAGTTAATTAGACCTGTTCTCAGGATGAAGTCAGGCCCAGCTCTTCCAGGAACTACATGAGGTCATCTGACTCCATATACAGTACTAATAGGAATGATAAAGGCATAAGCCGTCCCGCCTCAACAGGTGCAGCAAACGAACATTCAGGCACCGCACACACTGAGACGGGGCTCAATTAGGCAAAGTGACAACACCTGTGTGGGTGGACTAACGGCGTGTAAGAGACAGACTGCGCACTCAGAGGAGTCCTTGTATGAATAGTGATACTTACATACAATGGAGCCTGCTGTGGATTGAGTTTCATGTCCTTGGACACTGTAAAGAGAAGAACAAATGAACAAATGGTTATAGCTTTGCGATATGTTACACTGTATATACTGTGAGGGGAAACAAGATAATGTGTTGAATTGGTATTAATTCATTATTACCCATATGGGACAGTGCTTAAATACAACATTAACATATTAGTACCTAATAAAGCTGATACGGCTCATGTGTTAACCGCCTATTTAACAGCAGACCTGAAGCAGCATTAGCATCCATTTGAAGTCATGTTTCTGGCCTCCTAACAAACAGTAACACTCTCCCTTTTAGCTCTGTTTTGTGCTCCACTAACTCCTATCTGGCTTTTCCTCTGCTAAAGGCTCCACTATGTATACCAGCTAGCCTCAAGCTCGTGTTTGCTGTGTGGTGCTAGACCGGTAGTGCACAGTGGGTAGGCTAAATCGGAGCTTTTTCAGTGAAAACGGTTGCCTGCTGCGGCTGGAAGGTTGAAATGCAGAGTAATAATATTTCATCACATAACATTTAGTCATTTGAGCCATTGTTGAAATCAGAATAAATTAAAGCTGCAAGCAGCGTTGGGCGGGCCCTCGCACTCCACGCAACTCGGGGTGTGCTGCGGCCGC